TATTAATAATAATAATAAAAAATAATAATAATAATAATAAAATATAATAATAATAATAATAATAATAATAATATAATAATAATTATATAATAATAATTATTATTATTATAGTATTATGATTATTATTATATAATAGTATATTACTATTATATTATTATATATTATTATTATTTATTATTATTTTTTTATTATTATTATTATTTATTTATATTATTATTATTATTATTATATTATTATTTTATTATTTTTTTTTTATTTTTTATTATTATTATTATTATTATTATTATTATTTATTATTATTATTCATTCTCATCTACTGTTCACAGGCTTCTCTGGGTTAAGAACGCTGGCACATCGGTTTTGAAACAAGATGGCCCGTACGAGGATGATGTTAGAAACATCTTGTCCTAAAACTCTACGGACTGCACTGCATGTGTCCAACACGACCGACTTTTGCATAGGTAAGTATAATTCAAACGGTAATCCTAGTTGTTGCAGTGATGTTTTTAATTTTTTAGGTATTTCTCCAGTTGCTCCGATCACAATGGGGATGATGACTACTGTTTCCATGTCCCACATTTGGCGGATTTCATCGCTCAGGGGTAGGTATTTATTGATTTTTTCTCCATGTGTCTTTTCTAGGTTGGCTCCCAATGGCACAGCGAAATCTACTATATATGCTTTGTTTTCATTTTTTAGAGTGAGCACGATATCCGGTATATTATTACTTATCGGTCTATCGGTTATAATTTTTCGATTCCAGTAGAGCCGGGTTTGTTCATCTTCGCACACAGCAGGCGGCTCGTATAAATAGTACGGCACTATTTCTGTCAATCCCATGTACTTTTCACGAAGGCTTTGGTGGATTATCTTTCCGACTCTGTTGTGCCTGTCTAGGTAGGATTTCAGTGCCAACATTGAGCAACCAGCGATGATGTGATCCAGGTATTCATCTTTTTCACCGCACACACGACATCTGATATTGTCTTGTCGTTACCGCATTATGTTTCTTTATATACTTTAGTTGCGATGACCTGATCTTGGATTGGGGATATGAACCCTTCTGTCTCAGCAAACAGGTTACCAGAGCGGAGGTAGGCCGTGGACGCGAAGGTATCGATGTTATCGTTCTCGAGTAGGGTGCGGTATTTACCATGGAGTGCCTTACTCTTCCATTGTTGCAGTTGTTGCTCGGGCATGAGCTGGTCCACGCTGAGGCTAAAGTTTTGGTCTGCCAGTCTTAAAGGAGTAGCCTTATTGTCCGCCCTTATGATAGCGTGGTGAATCTCACAGGACGCAGCCCTGGCGAGGAAGTAGTTCCTAAGGTTTGTTACTTGCCTGTTGTGGTTAATAACTAGATCGGGTATACCTCTTCCACCCAACTTTCTAGGCAAGTGGAACCTTTCCAATGATGAACGTGGATGATGTGCTCGAAATTTGCTGAACTCTTTTCTGGTTTGGATATTGAGGTTTTTGAGTTCTGTGTCTGTCCAGTGAATCACTCCAAAGCTATAAGAAACTGCAGATGTAGCATAGGTGTTAACTGCTTTTGCCATGTTCCTGGCAGACAGCTTAGTCTTCAGTATCGACCGGACTCTTTTAATGTAGGTGTCACTTACTGTCTGCTTTGCTGCTGTATGATCTAGACCTCTTGCTTGCAGATATTCAAGATATTTGTACCTTTCTCCCTCTTCCATTCCGGCGATGGTTTGCCGCTCAGCAACTTCATATCCCGCGTGATGTACCCACTGGCTCTTCTCCATCCCGCTGGTCCTACATTTGTCCTGCCCAAATGACATTTTTATGTCGCGACTGAATCAGGTGACACAACTCAGAAGGTAGTAAAGGTGTTTTTTAGGCTTTGCATACAGCTTTGAATCATCCATGTACCAAAGGTGGCTAATATTCTTGTCTGAGTGTGGCAGTATATAACCTTTGCGCTGCCTATTCAACATAGTTGTCAGGGGTCGCAGCGACAGACAGAACCATAGCGGACTTAATGCGTCCCCTTGGAATATTCCATTTTCTATTTTAATGGTACCTGCATCTACACTTTTTTGATTGGTGTTTAAGACAATTCTGGTTTTCCACTGAGACATGGCGTAGTTCAGTAAATTCAGTACATGGGCCTCGACTTTATAAAGCTGCAACACCTCGGGTAGCCAGGAGTGAGGAACACTGTCAAACGCTTTTTGATAGTCTATATATGCTGTGTGCCTTGTGAGCGTTTCGCGTGAGATGTGATGACCGTATCTATTATTAATTGTTCTTTACACCCTCTGGATCCTTTTCGACAACCCTATTATTATTATTATTATTATTATTATTATTATTATATTATAATTATTATTATATTAATATTATTATTTTTTTTTGACGCCTTCAACTTCTATGGTTATTAGCCGTATTCAATAATATATAAATATAATATATAAATCTATAGTATAAAATATCTAATCTCTTACATGTCTAAGTGGTAAATGTCGCATTTTTAAAAAACTAAATATGCAAATTCCAGATATTAATCGAAAAGGATATACTATTGTCATTTACTTTCAGATTCTATTAGCAACAAAAGATAATATCTGGGAAATGTTACACGACTAAATTTGTCAGGCATATATTCATTAATATTATTTTTTTTTGTGGTCATTATCTGCACTTCACGATCTTGTTGCGTTCACGTAAGTATTTCGATTTATACAAATTCTATTGCTACATATTTCTTTTAGTTCCAGATGACAACACTAAGATAAGGTAGGTATGATGCAAAATCATCGTTACATAAGATTTATTTAATCTCAGTTGAGAATAAGATACACAAAAATTAGAATGGTTCATTTCCAAAAAGTTTATTAGGTCAGATCTTCCAATAGAAACCAGACTTTTAAGAATGATATGACGTTTTTCAGTTTTTCTGGTTGTGTGAGACTCTCTGTCAGGTTATCAAATGGTCCATAGATCACTCGATATTGGGACAATATCGGACATGTGCAGATAATGTGGCGTACAGTGAGTGAAGAGTTACATCCAGTGCACAAGGGCGGATCTGTTCCGAGCAAAAGATGTGCATGTGTAAGACGTGTGTGGTCAAACGTAAGGATGTATGCGCACCCATTCCTCGTGGCAGTCTGATAGGATGAGGCCATGATCCTACACTAGGTTTTATCTGTCTTAAGTGGGTATCAGTGTTACCCCATGTAATTTGCCAGTGTCGCTGTATACGGTTTATGAGGTAGTTTTTATGATCAGACATTTTTATTTCAGGGATGTCGATGTTTTGTTGCGCTGCTGCTGCTTTCGCTGCCATATCAGCAGCTTCATTCCCCTGTATACCAACGTGTCCTGGCAACCACAGAAATTTTACGTTCCCCCTTTATTTAAGAGATGTTTGACCGTTTCAAGACACATCACAGTTAAGGAATCTCGAGATGCATAGTTCATTAGGCCTTGAAGTGCTGAGAGCGAGTCACTAGCTATAATAGCTGTTGTTATTATTCGACATGTCACAATATCGTAGGGCCTGCCAAATAGCATATTGTTCAGCAGTAAATATGGATGCTATTGGTGATAGTGTCCATTGATGTGTAGTTTGATCGACTACTATAGCACAGCCGACACCACTGTCAGTTCGCGATCCATCTGTATAGATAACTGTTGCTGCCGGATATCTAGAAACGATTTCCATAAAACGTGGCTTTATGAGTTCAGATGGATGGTCATTCTTAGATAGTGCAGTCAGCTCGAGATTCACATTTATTTTGGGTGACAGCCATGGAGGAGATTCTCTGTGTTTAACATTATAGATAGGGTTACATGATATACCAATTTCCTCGGCATATTGTTTAACTCGGACTCTGAGAGGTCTTGTTATTGTGGGGCGACAGATGTAGCTCTCATCCGTACTGAAAATGATAGAAAAGTTTCTATGGAATGGTCGTGTTTGAATCTGTGCAGAATACGATAGTGCAAGTTTTTTACGTCTAATGGATAGAGGTTCAACTCCGGATTCGCAATAGAGGCTAGCTGCTGGAGTTGTACGAAATGCTCCAAGGCAGAGACGTAATCCTTGGTTGTGAACTGTATCAAGTTTTTTAAGTAGTGACGGTCTTGCAGATGAGTAAACAATGCTACCGTAGTCAAGCTTAGATAGAATGATGCTCTTGTATATCCGCAACAGCATCTCAGCTTCTGCTCCGAATCGTGTTGACGACAGGCATTTTATTAGGTTCAGGGCTCTCTTGCACCTGTTGGTAAGATCCTCAATGTGTCTCTCCATGTCAGTTTACTGTCGAGTGTTAGGCCTAGGGATTTTACAGAAGACACACAGGGTATGCGTTCATTGTTGAGACAGAGGCTAGGATCATAGTGTGGTCGTCTAAGCCTACAGAAATGGATACATCGTGTTTTTATCCGTGATAGGGTCAATCCCTTGTTCTTAGCATTCTGTAAAGATGGTATCAATAGCAGGTTGTTAGAAGGCGAGTAGTTTCACCAACAGGTTTTTCCTGAAGTTAAAATGCATAAGTCATCAACATATAAGCATTGGTTTATAGCAGGATTGACATTTTCAGTGATTGAGTTTATTGCTATCGCAAAAAGAGTGCAGCTGAGGGTTGATCCTGTGGGATACCATTTTCTATGATGCGTGTTGTGGAAAAGGTATTTCCTATTCGTACTTGGAGGAGACGATCTGTCAAAAATGATGATATAAGTATCGGTAGATTTCCTCTAATCGCTGGGGATGTAACTGTTTGAGGATATCATATCTCCACGTCATATCATAGGCTTTTTCTACATCAAACATCACAGCCACAGTATGCTGTCTGTTTTTGAAGCCATTTTGTATCAAGTCCTCAACGTAGACTAGTCGGTCCAATGTGGATCTAAATCTCCTGAATCCTGCTTGGTGTCCTACAAGCAGTTCATCATTTTCCAAAATCCACATTAAACGTTCACAAATCATCCTTTCCAGTATCTTACCCAGACAGCAGGTTAAGCTTATAGGTCTATAACTGGAAGTCACCAGGGGATCCTTACCATCTTTCAAAATTGGTACAATTGTGGCAAGTTTCCAACATGTAGGATATACACCATTTACCCATATCTCATTGTAGATGTTCAGCAGGATGACTTTGAATTTCTGTGGTAGATGTACGATCATTTCATAATTAATCTTATCTGGACCTGGAGCTGATCTGGAGACATATTGAAGTACTGCCTCTAATTCATGCATTTCAAAGGATACATTATAATTGAGACAATTATTTGTGGAAAAATCTAAATGGATCTCTCGTTGCATTTTCTGGGCTCTAAGGTCTCATTATAGTTTTATTTGTCTTAGTGATCCATTACCCTTGATCGAGCGAACTTTATTCCATACCTCACTTGATGGGGACTCGGATGTTATGCTGGATGCATAATCTTTCCACGACTGCCTTTGATTTTCCAACATTAGGCGTCGAGACCTAGCTCTGGCCCGCTTAAAGGAAATCAAATTTGCCGTGCCTTCTGAATGTGTTTAGCATATTTTTCTTCATTTTGATTCAGCAATTTCACTATTCCACCAGGGTAGTGTAAGTCTACTTGGGATACCTCTACTGAGTGGGATACTAGTAAGAGCCGCTTCATTTATAACGTTTGTTATAAACTCTACCGATACACTGCTGTCCTGAGAGAGTTACAAGGAGGAAAATTGCTGTTCATATGTATGCCAATCTGCTTTTGGCATGATCCAGTATTGAGGAATTTGTGTATTGGCTTTGTGTGTATCGAGGGTCACCTTGCATGGAAAATGGTCACTGTTATGAAGACCATATAAGACAGACCAGAGGACACGTTATTATTATTATTATTATAATAATAATAATAATAATAATAATAATAATTATTATTATTATAATTATTATTATTATTATAATTATTATTATTATTATTATAATAATAATTATTATTATTATAATTATTATTATTATAATAATAATTATTATTATTATAATTATTACTTATTATTATTATCATGTGTCATGCGTCGTTCGCGGCAGACGTGTATTCCAGTGCTCCGTCTACTGCATATTTACAGTAAAATAGTGTT